ATTGGCCGTGTGTGGAGGTGCTGATGGGCACCGCTGGGGGCCAGGCTGATACCCGTGCAAGGTGGTTATGCCGCGCCAGCGCGTACATGGGAACCAAGCGATTACCTGGAAGTGCGTGACTGGTCAGCTTGGACAGCTTCCACACATCCAGGTGAGCTCCGAACAATCTCAGGTCAACAGGACCGGAGGGTGACAGTAAGTCAGTAAAGAGACCAAGGCCATAGAAAGGTGAGAGACTGGCCCAGAGCAGAGGTTGCAAGTTTTTTCTGTGAAGCATCAGGCCGCAGTTCAGGCTTGGCAGGTGGCGCAATCCAGCCACACCCACTCAGCGCTGTGGCTGCAGCGCAGAAGCAGCCACGGACCACGGGCAGCGAGTGAGTGGGCTGTGTTTCATTAAAACTTTATTTTGGAGGCATTGAAATTTGAATTTCATGTAATTTTCACATGTCACAAAAAAGAATTCTTTTGATTTTTAATCATTCAGAAATGTAAAATTCATTCTTAGCTCGTGTACAAAAACAGGCAGCGTTTGGCCCACAGGCTATAGTTTGCTGGCCCGTTGGGTAGAGGGTACCTGAGACAGATGAGGATCTGGGGTGGGGCAGCGGCATCAGGCAGTCAGACAGCAAATCACAGAGCACTCCCCCTGCCCCCCCCCCAGCTCTCTAATTCACGTTCTCCAAGGACTTCTGATCACCTTCTCTCGTAACTTGCTTCAGGCAGAGAAGACAGATCTGGGAGTTTCTGAGTGCCCAGACCCCTTAGAAGTTCTATTTCTCATTGTGAATTGCCAGCCCAGCATTTTTTATGAAATCTGACTTCTCATGTTACTTGCCTACTGGGAGAGGCTCTGTTCTGCCAAGGCAAACATCCGCTCCACTTGAGTAGCATTTCTGATTATAAATTAATAAATTGGCGTCAGGGTGTGTATATAAATATCAGTCCCGGTGAGCTCGGTAAATTCGCAGAGAGATGAATTGCCTCAGCACCCAGCTCCCCGAAGCAGATTCCTGTGGCTCCAAGGCTGGCGGCCAAGCCCTTGGTAATGCCACCTTGAGAAGCCTCCAGCTGCCACCCAGGCTGCTGGTCAGGAGCCTCTCCGTCCATCCTGCAAGTAGCTGGGCTGAATGGGGGGTGGGGGATGGTAGGTGGATACGTGAGTGGCTGGCTGGGTAGGATGAGTGGAGGCGTGGATGCTGCATGGGAGACTGGTGAGGGGAGGATGGGTGGATGTGTGGACAGAATCTATAGATTTCTGGGTTCAGGTACCCAGAAGGAGTGGCCCTAGTGGGTGACAAGGCAAGCCACAGACACCCCAAGAGGTAAAGATAGAGCCAAGAACTAACGTGTTAAGACCTGCCAGGTGCCAGCACTGGGTTTCCCTCTCCCCTTCCCACCTCTGCCCCTCTGCGTGTGCCCATGACCTTGTATTCCCAAGCTTGATCTTAACGGGCCTCGCTCAGGCCTTTTCTGGCTCATTTGCTAATTAAGAGACAATTCTCTTATGTTACCGGGGCTTTCAGGAGCTAGGGGTCTCCTCCCACATCCTCTCAGCTCCAGCTCTTGGTTTATTTATAGCAGGTGCACAATGTTTTTGCCCCAAACTTCGCTTGCAGAGACAGAGTCCATCTCAAGAGGATTTTACAATAATTTAAGCTTCTAAAATAGGTCCCCAGACCACTCGCTGGCCTTCTCCCCTACTTCCTACCTTCAAAGCGGTGCTGTATCCATCCCTACCTTTGGCCCATTATGGGTCAGACTCAGTTTCTCAGATCCCTTCCCATTCTCAGATCCACAGGTCCTTTCCTCTAGGAAGCCCTCCCTGATTGCTCCCAACTGAGCCCCATCTCCCACAGGAGATTGCAAGTCTGCGCCTGAACTTCAAGTCACACAGAGACCCTCTGTGTGGGCTGTGGTTTCCGTGTATGTGTGTGTGTTGGAGGGCCCTCCCCTTGGAGCTGAGCTGGGATGAGCCCCCACAGGTGCTCCGCTGCAACCAACACAGGCCGCAGCGCCATCTTAAATGAGGAGCCGTTTAATTTTCCCAGAGAAGCTTCCCTCGGTGGACACGCTAAGGATGCACTAAGGGAGCATAGCTGGCCGTTGGAGGAGGGAACCGCCAGGAAGTAAACACAGAGCCCAGCTATTATTACGTGTCTTGTTGTTAATGTATTCCCTTCCTGGCTTCTCATAGGCTCCAAGATGACTAAATAAACCCAGGACTTGACTCCCCGCTCCCCAAAACTCCATCTTCAGCAAGGGAGAGCTCAGTCTGCGGCATAAATTAGCAGAAGCTGGAGTGTAAAAATATGATTCTGTGAACAAACAAAAGCCTCCAGTCATGAGACCAGCGGCGGCTGAGCTGTTCCCACTGCCGTCAGCTCTGTTTCCAAGCAATTAAAGGCAGAGGGAGAAGAGACCGGCAGGGCTCCCCCCGCGGGCTGGGGGGAGGCGGCGGCAGGGCAGACCCCAGGCTCCTGCAGCTGACGCCAGGGTGCTCTGGCAGTCAGGAGACCTGGTCTGTCTGGCATCAGCCTCTGGGGAACTTGAGGCATGGTTTTTGCCTCTTGGCCTCAGTTTCTTCATCTTTAAAATGAGCATAATAATTCCTGATGGCTTTCTTACAGATATGTCATGAGGAGCAGACAAGATAAAAGGTGAGGAAGGATTTGAGGAAAGATAAAAAAGTACGTGAGGAGCGATTGATTGCTGGGGCTTGGGGCAAGCCAAGGGGTTGCCAGGGAGGGTGCGGCCCACCTGAGACCTCTCTTCTAATTCACAATCTCTGCCCACACCCATTCTAGAGATGTTGAAAGTGAGGCTCAAGGAGTTTGGGTCTGGCCCATGGTCCCTTTCTGGAAATCAAGCCATGTCTGCCAGACATAGAAGCAGATGGCCCCACTGCTCCCCTTGTAGTTGAAGTGTTGTTTGGTAGACCAGAAGCAGATCGCCAGGGCCAGTGTGAGTCGTGGGGTGAGCTGGTGTGGCGAGAGTGTGCACCACCTGGGCCTCGTTCACCTGGCCTGATCGCCATGAGACCCTGGGCAGCCCGAAGCACGGCACCTGCCAGGTCAGTTTAGACTAAAATACCCTCATCAGAGCCCAAGGGCATCAGTTCTCCGGCTTCTTGCAGTAAGATTCTGGCCACTCAGATCTAAAAGAACCCGTAATGAACAAGGACACAGGAGACCCTGGGATGGCAAAACATGGTCCCTGTCCCCAAAGGGCTCCGGACTGGTGCTGGTGACAGACTCCCAGGCAACCTTCATGACCAGGGTTGGATGGCACTTCCCCTACCCAAACTACCGCTCAGGGACTCTGGAGATGCTGGAGGACAGGGCCAGCATTCACTGTGCACAGACTCAGGGCTGCGTGCCCGTCCCGCTCTCTCAGGCCAGTCCTCCCGCCCGGCTTCACGGAGCCTCCTCTCTGAGCCAGGCACACAGCAGGGAAGAAACAGACACCTCTGCCCTCTTGGAGCTTATAATCGGGTGAGTCCAGACAAATGTTACGCAAAATGAAGGATAGGATGGTGGCAGGTGCGATGGAGAAAAATAAAGCCGGAAAGAGGTTATGGCTTACAATTAAGGGGTCTAATTTAATCCTTAAAATATCCCTCACTTGACAGTTGAGGAAACTGAGACTCTGAAAGGGTAAGTAACTTAAGGTCAGACAGTGAGGACATGGGGAGCTAGGATTTGAATCAGAATGTTCTGATGGGGGTCGGGGGCGGTGCTCTGCTCTAAATTACCAGGCAACCATGATGCCAAATGACCCCACAGCAGACAGAAAGCAAACCGGTTGGAGGCTGCAGCAAGGAAGCCAACAGATCGAGGATTTCTGTTTATTCTATGCAATCAGGAGGACTTCTCATAGAAGGTGGAAGCACCCGAGGCTGGAAGGGAGAAGTCCCTGGGCCCTGCATCAGAGGCTGCGTTGAGCCTGGGGGAGGGTGCCGGCGCAGGCAGGGGCTGCCTCGGTTTCCCTGCCGGGCAGCCTTCCCTTTGCCTGGACAACCAACCAGATTCTCTAGCCAACCTCTGCCTTGCGGAGCCGACTTGGCTTGAGAGGCAGGCAGAGATGGGAATCCCTGCTGGTACCAGTCTATGGCAGACCCTTAGCCAGCCTGAGGCCGTTGCCTGCATACAGCAGAGGGACCCCTAGCCCTGAGCTCTGGGCAGCAGGCTGCTGGGCCCGCAGAAAGACTGCTGGGGGAAGTTCGGCTGAGAAAATGTAGAGTGAGGGAATTGATTTTTTTTTCAGCTACACAGTCGTGAACATAAACTGGAAGATACATCTCTTCCTTTACGGGAGACAATCAAACACACGATACAAGTTTATGGAGGGAATGTGTCTTTCTTACACAGGATATTTCCCCCCAGACGCTTGGCAGCCTGAAACCACTTCATTCCAGAGGTAAGTAATCAAGTGGCAGAGGCAAGGCGGGCAGGAGGAGCGCCCAGGGTTTTATGAGCCAGAGGCCTTAGTCAGTTAGGGATGGCTCTCCCTCCACTTCCCGCTCCCTGAGACCCAGTGCAGTCTGCGCTGAGCCCAGGGGCCCAGAGTCAACCTTCAGCAGCCAAGAGCAAGGCTGGGTCATCACCACACTGATTCTCTCAGTGCAGCTTCCCTGGGCAGCCCCTCTGTGCCAGGCCCTGTGCTGGGAGCCGACGACGGACAGACCAGGCCCAATCCGCACCGCTGAGAAGCCCGCCAGCAGAGAAGGAATGTGTGGGCAACTGATGCTGACCAAGAGCAGAATGAATTCGGAGTACATAGATCTCTTGTCCTTCCCCTCCTCCTTCCCCTTGTCCCCACTCCAGGGCACCCAGCTAGGCTCCTACCAGGAACTGCTCCATAAAGCTTGTCCTCTGGATCACTGACTCAGGGCCTTCTGTGGCAGCAGCAGTGCCCAGAATTTGGTGGCTCCAAACCAAACACACCGAACAGTTCCAGCTTAGCCACACTGAAGGGTGGACAGTTCTCTGACAGTTGAGCGCCCACCTCAAGCACCTGCTGCCTGTCTTTCCACTTTCTTTCTAAAGCCATCGGAGCCTGCTGGGCTCATAAGCAAGGGTGGTCCAGGAGCACAGAGGGATGAACTCCCCTCTGGGGCACCCCACCACCACCCAATGGGGGATGGGAGCCAGTGGGTAACCATTCCAGCCTTCCATCTCTTAGGCAAACAGTTCTGGAGGTCCCAGGGGAGTAGAGACCCCCCCCAACCCTGCCAACATTGGCTTCTCTGCTAGTGCTCCTTTATGTCAGTTTTTCTGCCTCCTCTCTCTCCCCCTCCCCCTCTCTCCCCACCCCCTCCCTGCTTCCTGAGACCCCCTCCCAGATACACCACAGGCACCCAAGTCCTGGTTTCAAGTTTGCTTTCAAAGGAACTCAAGCTAAAGAAGCCTTTCCGACTCCCACTTCCATGCTCCCGGACACACTCTCTCTGGCCTGCCAAGCCCCTCTAGGATTGCTCCGGACAGATAGAGCCTCATGACAAAGGAGCAGAGCCCAGTCTCAGCGGGGGGAGTGCGGACAATGGGCCCCCTCCCAGCAGCTGTCCCTGCCTCCTCTCCAGCCTGACCACAGATAGTGAGGCTGGGGGCCCGATGGACGCAGAGTGGGGCTCAGCTCCACCACCGCCATCCATGTGACCTTGGACGGGTCAGTTCACCTCCCCGAGCCCCGTCTTGCCTGTCTGTCGAGTAAAGGCAATAACAGCGTGTTGAAGACCTGTGAGAACTGAGTGAGATCGTGCGAAGCAGGAAGCACGATCCGGGCGGAAAAACGTGAGCCACTGTTTGTACGAACTTGGCCTCCCTAAACAGACCCGATTCCTTGAAGGTGAGGGCCTTCTTTGTTTTCTCCTGTCTCCCCCACAGCACCAGCGTGGAGCTGGTGCTCAGGAGGCTGTCACTGAAAACTCCCTGGATGGGTGGAGCGGGGATGGGCCCCGGGCCTGGCTCCTCTCAGACCCGCCATGCCGAGGGGCTGGGGGATGGTGCCAACTCTGAACGTGCCCTGGACAGCCCAGAGCTGGCCTGGCCCCCTGCCCGGGGCCAGGGGGAGGACAGGTGGCTTCCCAGCCTGGGAATGGAGAGGCGGTGGCCAGAACCCAGGAGGTGTGGCGCTAGCTGGCACAGCCATCCCCGCCCTCCTGAAAAATCCAGGATGACAAGGCTGGGGGCTTCCATCAGCCCTGAACTCTCTTTGAGTAAAGGGGAAAAATTGGCTTCCACTCTGAGCCCGACTGCATTCGACATCTGGCAGCTCAAAGTGGAGTGACTCATGCAATCCTGAGATACAAGGAAGTGGGGGCAGGAGCGGGGGAGAAGGAGGAGGAGAGAACCGCGCAGAGGGAGGGAGGGCAGGCAGGCCATGCGGTGCGGCCCCAGACAAAAGAATCAGCATCCAGGGTGGAGAGCAAAGGCTGTTCCCATGCCCAGGTGGCCAAGGATGAGCTGTCCACTCTGTTCTGCTCACCCATCTCTGGGCCTGGTGTCAGGACCTCTGGCACCAGGCCCTGCTAACTTAAAGAGACGCAGATTCGAACCAGCACCCCCAGCAGGATGTGGAGTGATGCTACAGGTAGTGAGCAGCTTGTCCCTGGAGGCATGGGAGAGAAGCTGGATGAGCCCTGGTAGGGGTGTGTTAAAGCCTCGGGCCTAATTACCACATGTGCTTGTCTGAAGCTGAGATGATCCGTGAAGGACAGGGTAGGAGGCTGGTCTGGAGGGTGAATGAAGTCACGGAAGTTAAGGGGCACCTAAATCTTGTGCCTAAAGCCTGGTCGTCCCACTAGAGGAGCAGCAGCCATCTCTCCGCCATGCAGGTGACGAGGGCAGGCAGAATGGAGTGCAGGGGCCCTGCTTTGGCTTCCCTGGAGGCCAGCTTGGTAGACTTCCTTCCAGGATGCTTGCTCTTGGATGGGTTGGCGGGTGGGGGTGGGGGTGGGGGAAGGATTCAAGAGCAGCCTGTCATGGGCACATCACCTTGGGGAGCTCAGGACATGAAAGGGGAGGAGCACAGGCCTATGGAAGGACAGAGGAAGAAATCCCAATTTCACACGGTCCCCTTAATTTCATCAGAACGGACTCAGGCTGAGAGTCACTCCGGAAGAATGAGGTTGGCAGGTAGGGGTGATCTTGGGAGAATTCTTGGAGGAAGGAGAGCCTGGAGCTAGTTCAACCTCAGATAAAGGTCAAATACAAAGGAAATTTGGAGAGAGAAAGGAGAGGGCTCTGAGCAAAGGTGTGGACCGGGAAAGAATCTGGCCTGCGAGGGGCGGAAGCAGACGGCCAGGGACCAGGAGGTCAGCCTCTGCCCTTTCTAGGCCTTCATTTATGCCTCTCTCGATAAACTGTCTTTTCAGGGTTCTTCCTGGATGGTTGGAAACATCAGACAATATTTCCGGCTGGCTGTTCTCCTGGGAGGGCCACACACCAGCAGAGGGAGGTGGGGAGGCCAGTGTGCTGCCCTTCCCTGCCCGGACCTCCTAGTTACCACCAGCGCAAGGGGTATTGGGCCGTCTGATCTGCAGAGGCCCTTCTAGACTAAGGATTCTCAGTCTGTGGGCCAAAGTTAGGCCGAAGCAGAGGTCACCCCTGGCGGACTTATTGGCATGACTGTCAGCATCTCCCTTTGCCTCAGCCAGACCAGTTCAATTTGACACTGGTCTGTGGGTCCTCAGCAGCCCTCCCCTACCAAGTCAGGGATTCCCTTTCTCTCCAGGAATGCCCCACAAGTCACCCTCACTCCAGGCCTTGCCTCCAGCTGTTCCCCCTCCTCGTAATGCCTTTGCTCTTCATCTCTGAGCAAACTACACATCCTGGGAGGGCCAGCGGCAAACCCGCATCGTCTCCATTCGGTCAGCCTTCTGAGAGGGCAGAGGCTGTGCAGGGCCCTGCACTGGGAGCAGGTCAGGGGTGGGGTCTGCTCAGCGTGTGCCGCGATCAGTACCCCGCCCACAGGTACCTTGCCCTCTGTGCTGGAGGGGCTTTCTTCCTGGCCTGTCGCATCCCGCCCTGCTGTTTCCTATTTGCCTCTCAGGAGAGCACAGTGTGGGCCTTAGGGGCATGGGCTCAGCGGTAAGACCCCTTGGCTTGTGTGCAAGCTCCCCACCCGTATTGAGATGATCATGGGCAAGTTAGGGGAGCCTCCCTGCACCTCAGTGTCCTCATCTGTAAAGTGGGCATAGGATAGTACCTACTCCATAGAGTTCTCATGAGCAGTAAATAGATAATCTATGTAAAGCGCCAAGCATTGCCCCCAGCATATCATAGGGGTTCAACGTTACCCAGGTGCAATGTTCAAACAGTGCTGTTGTGAGGACCCCAGCCCCTCTCCCCACTGGCCCCTGGGCTTCCCAAGGGCAGGGCTTTGGAGGCACGTGAAGGTACAGAATGTGTGGTTGAGGACCACATCATGAATGTGTGTTTGATTGTTTCATCAATCCCTTGAGCCCCATGGACTCCCAGGGAAGCCTAAAGGGAAGGGACCAGGACAGGTCAGTGTTGATGTATGGAGTGTGGAGCTTGGGGCATCCTGGAGGAGTTCCTGGGCATTTGGGGTGCCTGGTAAGCCCTGGGGTGGGGGCTACTGCTAAGGGCGAAGCAGCTTTGGCCACACTGGCCTCATTCAGCATCAAGGAGACTGAGGGAATGACATCAAGTGACAGGTGGCCCTGTCTCCTCCACAGGCTCCAGAGCTTCTTGGGTCCTCAGCTGGATCGGAACCCCAGGCCACTGCATCTGCCTGACTGCAGACCTAGACTGGAGGTGGAGAATTCGGGATGCTGCCGGGGAGGAGGCCTGGCCAGGGAGATCTGGGAACCACACTACAGGGGAGACTTTGACCTGGAGAAAGGGTACTCCTAAAACAGGTATTCTGTCTTGGTCTGTTTCCTTCCTGAGATCCCCCAGTGCCCAGAATGGGGCCCGCATGTGGTAGCTGCTCAGGAAGCCTCTGTTGAATGACTGAGTGAATGAACCAGTGAGTGAATCGGGGCGGAGTTGGGTCACTAGACAGAGCTTGCCTAGGGGATCCTTCCCAACTCTCTAAAGAAGTCCATCCTCCCTAGTGCTCCCACCGCTCTAGCCCCTGCCCCTGCCCCTGCCCCAGCCGCGACCCCTAGCCCAGCCCTTCTTCAGCCCACTGCAGCCGGTCTCCGCTCCCACCCCACCCAGCCCCTACCCCTGCCTGGCAGCCCCAAGCAGGCTTCCAGGCAAGCCCAGGGATGGAAGCCAACTTGCAGGCTTTCTGTTGTCATTAGCTGTCAGGTCTCAGGTAATAGCTCCTGAAGAGGACCAGCTGCCTTCGCTGAAGAGTTTGCACATGCAGCCCTGGGGGTGGGGGCAGGCAAGCAGAGATGCAGGCAGACCTGGAAGCCCAGGCCCTTCCCTGGACGCCCCCCTCTCCCCCAACACAAGCTGGGCAATCTCTCCGGCACTCTAGCTCCTCCTGCAGGACAGGCTGCAGAGGCCCACGCTGTCCAGCCCTGATCCGCTCCTGGCCTGGAGCTCCTCCGCCCAGCCATACCCCTATCTGGTCCAGGCTACTCCTGGGAAAGGGGAAAGGCAGATGGGGAAACTGAGGCTCCGATCAGGCAAATGCCTTACTCCAGATCAAACGTCGAGCTGCCTGTGGAGCAGGGGGCCCAGAGCTCCTGTCTCACCGTCCGAGTGGATGAGGTATAGGCGGCTGGGCAGCATGAACCAGTGAGTCTAGCCAAGGATACAGCTGGCGCCAACAGCCCCTGCGGGTCACAGTGTTGGTCCCTGGAGGTCAAGGGGCCAGCGTGGGAGACGGGGCTGCCCCTCCCTCCGACAGTTAGGAGGTCCCGCCACTCAGAGGGAGCCCCAGGGAATCTCACTCCCCGAAACTCCCGGAGTCAAAGGTGCTAATTGCTTCCAACCAGGGTGACCAACTCATCACCAGTTGCCTGAGGCTCTCCGGGTTTTCGCTTGGCAAGAGCTAAAACCCGGGAAGTCCCTCCGTTTCAGACAAAGCGGGACAGTTGGTCAGCCCGCTTCCACGCTGCTCTGTGTCCACCCTCCCCGCTCCCTGACTAGTCGCCTGCGCCTCCTGGGCCTGCGCCTCCCTGGAAACCGCCATAGTCTCCTGGGAGGGCCCCCAGAGACCTTCCACCCCAGAAAGCTCCCGCTCCGGGGCCCACTCCAATAGAAGGCTCTAACTGGCCAGATGGAGTCTGCCGCACTGTGCTGTCAGGACCCTCTACAGCCGTAATGAGAGACTGACAAATGGGACTTCTCAGCTCACCCTGCCCACAGGCAGGCCGATGTGCAGGGCCCTGCCAACGACGGCAGGCTCGGGGCCCGAGGCCGAGCGGCTCTGCCGCGCCATCCTCAGATAACTGGCGGGAGCGCCCAGCCAGGCTCAGGCTGCCCTCCGGCCCCCTCCTCTGCTGGCTCAGTGCCCGGTCCAGCAGGGGCCGACCATCAATAATTGGGTCACCCCCACTCCCATCCCCACCATCACACTTCCACCAGTGATAGCATTTCAGCTGCAATTAAAAATTTCAAGTTGCAATTAAAAATTAATTGGAAACCGTGGGTTGTTTGTGTCTCTCTGACCTCCGTCACCTGGCTGGGGGCGGGGTGTGAAGGAGGGAAGGGCAGGTGAGCGGAGGAGGGCATTTCAGAGCAGTTAGCCGAAGGAGCAGGGGGCTCCGAGCCGGCCTAAGTTGCACGGGAGCAGATTTCTCCTGGAGGCTGAATGGAAGGACATCAGCCAGTCGGCCTGGAAGGCCACGGTCCCTGAGTTCTCTGAGAGCACAGAGCACGGGGTCTGTGGATGGGAGAAGAGAGAGAGGAGTGGAAGAAACGCACGTAAAGGGACAGGTGGCAGAGCCAGGCCTGCAGGTAAAGGTCGGGGTGTCCTGAGTTCATGGTTGCTTCCTCAAGTCCTCAGCTTGAGGGCAAGGAATTGGTAGGTCAGCTTCCTGAGAGCCCCACAGAGAGGCACCAGGTGCAGGGTGAGAAGTATGGAGACGTGAAACGGCGCACGTGCTTTCTGGCCCCGGGTCCCACTGGCCAGACCCTAGGGTGAGGTTCTGCCCGGTGTTCTCAGGCGGAGATGCTGAATTCACATTCCTTGGTCTCCCAGCAGGGCTGGGTCTGACTGTGCTGCCTGTACCTTCAGATGAGGGGATTCCTCCTGCCAGTTCCCTGTGGACCCAGAGGTCAAGGTTCCCTTAGCATTAAGTATTCTCTTAGTCGCTGTCTTCAGGTCACCTCTGTCCCCTCTGCATCTCTCTTTCTCAAGGCCTGCTACCCTCAGCTGGCCCTTTCAGGGCCAGGGTTCCCTCTTCCTCCAGAAACCCCCCTCAGACTCCTACAGGCCGCCGCCTCCTGAGATCCAGAGCACCTCCTGGCTGTGGCCCTCCATGGCCCCAGACTTTATCCCGTCTGTGCTGTTGGGAAGCCAGGCTGTGAGAGTCTGTCTTCCCCTAGGACTTGACAAGGGCGAGTTCTGGGTTCTCTTCTCTTCCACGATGCAGAAATTTGATCTAACAGCACTAGAAGCAAAAGGCTGTCAGTGAAGCAGATTGCAGATGCCAGGCCATGGGTGTGCAACCCAGAGGCCCAGACATAGTGAGCTGCAGTGACTGAAAGCTGGGGTGGTGGACCAAGGAGATGGTTGAGCTCCTTACTTAGAGAATGTCTATGACTGCTTCTCCCCCACTGAAACTGTGCGAGAGAGTGTGTGTGTGCGCATACGTGTCCATGCCTGCTTGCACATGTATGTGCCTGTGGAGGGGGGCCCCATCTTTTACCATATTCTCCAGAGGGGCCAGTGTATTAGTTAGGATTCGCGTTCAGGTGTTAGTAACAGAAACAGTGGCTTCAGTAAATTAAAGGTTTATTCTCTCAAAAGAGAAGCCTGGATTTAAGCAGTCCAAGGTAGTGTGGCAGCTCCATGATGATCAAGGATCTGGGTTCCTTCTGTCTTGTTCTATCCTTAGCATACAGCATTCATCCTTGAGGGTCCGCAGTGGCTACTTGAGCTCCAACCATCAAATCCACATTCCACACAAACAGCAGAAATCAGGAGGATAGTGTAAAGGGGCATGTGTCATCTGTCTGTCTTCCTCTGAAAGAATATTTCCAAAAGCCCACACTACAACTGCTTATATATCATTGGTGACCTCTGGCTGCAAGGGAGTCTGAGAAATGTAGTCTTCCAGCTGAGCATCTTGCTACCTGGAATAAAACTGAGCTTCTATTACTAAGAAAAAAGGGAAAGAATGAGTATTTGGAATGCAATAAGTGAGCCATACCATATCCAGCAGCCCCAAGACCTCGAGTGTAGCTGCTATGGGCCAAGATGTTATCTCTTTCAAGAAGGAGAGGGACTCCACACAGTCCCAGGTCCACCCCTCAGCCACCACCTCCCTGCCCATAGAGACTGGGAGGTCAAAGGTAACCTGAGCAGGTGCTCGGCCAAGCTGCCACTTAACTGGAGTTTATGGCTATGCAGGAGACAGTAGGAGGACTGGCCAGGTGAGGCCTGGGTCTTGAGATGGGGACAGGTCAGGGACTTACTGAATTATTTCATTCTTGCATTTGCTGTTTCATTTTGCATCTTAATTGTAGGCCTCCAAATTACTCTTCTAGGAGGTGGCAGGCACCATGGCTGCCCCTCTTCCTCAGCTCTTTTCTAATGAAACGCCTTTTCCTGCCTCCAGTTCCTGCCAGGAGAGGCGCAGGATGCTGCCCAGAGCCTGCAATCACCCTGCTGTTCTAATTAGGAAAGAGGTTTCTTCTGAGGCTGTCCATAGCGAGGCTGGTCATTAGGGAGCAAACTCACTGCCTGCTCTTTCAAAACTGACTTGGATACCGTGGAAAGGACCGCCTTGACCAGTGCTGTTTGGAATCTCACTAACAAACTTGTTTTGAGCACTTAAGACACTCCCTGCCTCATCCCCCTCCCCCAATACAAGTCATTACAAATGTGATAGGGGTTTTGAAGGAGAATGCAGGATGGAAGGGGACCAGCCGTAACCTGAAGGGTCGACCAGTAGGAGAGATGGAGGAGGAGCCCTCAGCCCCTCTCCTGGGGGTCTGGGCTAGGGAGAGACAGGGCTCAGGCTCATGGGACAGTAGTGGAAGCACACTCATTCATCCGGTGTTTACTGAGCACCTGCTGTATCTCAGGCTCAGTTCTAGGCCTGGGGATGCCTCGGTGAATAAACAAAGGCCTGCCCTTATGGAGATGACAATCCAGCTGGCAGGGGCAGACAGTAAACAACTGAGCAATTAAACACAAGTGCTATAGACAAATAAAGCAGGCCAAGGAAATATGGAGGGATGGGGGCCAGGGAGGTTGGTGTTTGCTGCTGGCTGGTCAGGAACTGTGCCATTGAGATGAGATGGAAAAGCAGTCATGGAGTAAGCCTTCAGGATCATCTAGGCCTACGGGCTATAATAAGCAGAAGAAACAGCACATGCAAGGGCCCAGAGGTGGGGGTGTGCCCAGCATTTGTTGAGAAGCAGCAAGGAGGCCAGTGTGGCAGGAACAGAATGAGGGAAGAGAAGAGGAACAGGAGAAGCAGTCAGGTTGGTAAAGGGAGGCAGGTCACCAAGGGCCTTACAGGCCACAGGGAGGATGCAGAGTGCTGAGCGTGCTGCAGTGTGGGGAGCAGGCTGGGGAGGCCAAGGGCAGGAGCAGGGAGACTGGCTGGGAAAATATTACAATAATCACGGGAGGTAGTGAGTGTTTTGAACAAAACTGTCAGGTACATTTGATTTAAAAAAAACCACCTCAAAACAGTCTAAGCATGAAGAAAGGAACTGACTGGCTCATATGAAGGAATAAGTTTCAGGTGTGGTTGAATCAGCTGAGGTCATCAGGAGTCCATATGCTGTTCTCTGTGCCACCTCCCCTTGTGGTGGCAAACAGTCCCCAGCAGTTCCCAGTTTACATTCTATCAACTTAGCAATTGCAGTGGAAGGCACCTTTCTCTCAAGGGTTCCACCAAAAGTCCCAGAGCTTTGGCCCAGGATGGATCATGTGACCACCATTTGTGACTCTGGTTAGGCCTGGGTGATGTGCTCATTCTTAGAACCATGGGGATGAGGTCAACCCCACCCTGACCTCATAGAGTGAAATGAAAGAAGGGAAGTTGCATGAAAAGAAGATGGTTATAGTTTCTGGAAGAAGAGGGGAACTGATGCTGGGAGAGCAAAAACAACAGGTTTATTTTGCATGGCATATGCAGAACAGAGCCAGGCTGGTGTGTAGCTATTAGCAGATGAAAGGGAAGGAAAGAAAAAGAGAGGGACGGAGGGAGGAAGATTCAGACTTATGAGGACTCATTCCAGGGGGTGATTAAAGAGAGAAGGGCCATCAAGGAGGGCTTCCTGGAAGAGGAGGGACTGATTCAGAGGCAGGAAAAGGCCTTGCATTTGGGTAGGGAAGGGCCAGACTGATCCATTACATGGGCAGGCACAGACCCTGGTGGCCTAACTGCAGCAAGAAGATGCTGAGTAGCAAAGGGTGAGTCTGCCTGTGCCTACCCCATGCCCTTGGAACATGTCCCACCAACGGCCTCCCTGGCCACCTTTCTATTTGTGGAGCAGTCATCATGCCCCATGTTAGACACGGATGCTGTTCCAAATGGATTATGGCAAATGATTTAATGGCCCGCATTAGCACTCCCTGGCTCCCACGTGGGGGCCCCGGAGCATCTCCTCTCAAATCAGCCCTGGCAGAAGCTTTTCTGAAGGAGCTGCTGCCTAAATCACTACAATACACAGCCTGCTAGGACATGAAGTGGTCCCCAAAGTATTGTTCCTGCCCCCGGTGGGGGCACAAAAACCCAATGGGTGTGGGAAGAAAGCGATAGAACTTCTATTCTTTAATCATATCCTTTTAAAATTACCATTTTGTATCTGTTTTATAACATACAGAATACATTGGCACAGAAATGCATACATATAATTTACAAATGAATTAATGTCTATATATACGGAGGTGTCCTTAAATTTGTTAGAGAAATGAGCTGTCAAAAACGTTTGGGGTCTACCAAAGTGCAAATATAATAGTTATCAATTATACGGAACTTACCAGTTTCTAGATCTGTGTGCAGTGCTCACTTAGTCCTCACGGCAACCCGTATTTACAGATGAAGAAACTGGAGCACAGAGAGGTTAAGTAACTTGCTTCAGGCTACTCAGCCTGGAAGATGCAGGGCTGGGATTGTTTCCAGTGGTCTTGCTGGGAGTCCATGATGCTTTTTTTGATAAAACTGGGGTCCTGGGGGCAGGAAGAAGGGATCTGGGATTACTTAGTGTATCCTTTGGTTCTGACAAGACAGCCTCTAAGGCACCCAGGATCAGTGGCCCAGGTCCCAGAGGAGCCCCACGCCCCAGCTTGCTCCTGCCTCTCGTAGCTCCGTCTTGCCAGCCCATCTGTGCCATCCGCATTGCCCCCCTGGATTTCAGCCCATTTGTTCTCCTTTTTCCCTCCTGGAAGATGGAGAGCAGACATGGATGGGGCAAGGAGGGCTGGCTGGTGGTTGGAATTCTGTCCTCTCATCCAAATGG